GCTATGTACCCTATTTTTTAATTGGAATACTTGCTTTGCTGCTTTTTAACTTCATGTATTTTTTATATATTCTGAATAATAGGCCTCTGTCAGATATAAGGTTGGTGAAGCTCCTTTTCCAGTCTGTAGGCTGTCATTTTGTTCTGAAGACAGTATCCTTTGCTTTACAGAAGATTTTCAGTTTCATGAGGTCCCATTTATTGATTGTTGCTCTTAGAGCCTGTGCTGTTGGTATTCTGTTCAGGAAGTAGCCTCCTGTGCCAATGAGTTCAAAGCTCTTCCCTACTTTCTCTTCTAACAGATTTAGTATGTCTGGTTTTATGTTGAGTTCTTTGATCTACTTGGAATTTAGTTTTGTGCAGGGTGATAAATATGGCTAGAGCAATAATCCAACTAAAGAAGATCAAGGGGACACAAATCAGAAAGGAAGAAGTCAAAATAGTGATCTATTTTCAGATGATATGATGTTATACATGAGTGACCCCAAAAATTCAACCAGAGAACTACTTCATCTGATAAACACCTTCAGCCAAGAGACGGAACAGAAAAGTAACTCAAAAAAAAAAAAAATCAGTAGCCCTCTTGTATACAAAAGACAAAAGGGCAGAGAAGGAAATTAGGGAAAATACACCTTTCACAATAGCCACAAATAACATAAAGTATCTTGGTGTGACTCTACCCAAGCAAGTGAAAGACCTGTTTGAAAAAAAAAACTTCAAGTCTCTTATGAAAGAAATTGAAGAAGATATCGGGAGACAGAAAGATCTCCCATGTTCATGGCTTGTCAGGATTAACATAGTGAAAATGGCCATTCTGCCAAAAGCAATCTACAGATTCAATGCAATTCCTATAAAAATGCCAAAACTATTCTTTATAGACCTTGAAAGAAAAATTCTCAACGTCATATGGAAAAAACAAAACAAAACAAAACAGAATTGCCAAAATGATCCTGTACAATAACAAATTGTCTGGAGGTATCTTCATCCCTGATCTCAAGCTGTATTACAGAGCAATAGTTATAAAGACTGCATGATACTGACATAGAAACAGAATGATGGATCAATGGAATTGAATAGAAAACACAGAAATAAACCCACACACCTGCGGATACTTGATTTTTGACAAAGAAGCAAAACCATGCCCTTCAACTGAAGAATGAATGCAGAAATTGTGGTACATCTACACAATGGAGTATTACTCAGCAATGAAAAATAAGGAAATCATGAAATTTGCAGGTAAATGGTAGGACCTGAAAAGGTTCATCCTGAGTGAGCTGTCCTAGAAGCAGAAAGACACACAGGGTATATACTCACTCATATAGACATATAACATAAAATAAACCTACTAAAATCTGTACGTCTAAAGAAACTAATTAAGAGAAAAGACCCTGACTGAAATGCTCAATCCCCATCCCAAAAGGCAAAGAGGATGGACATCAGAAGAAAAAGAAAACAGGAAACAACCTAGAAACCTGCCACAGAGGGCCTCTGAAAGGTTTTGCCCTGCAGACTATCAAAGCAGATGCAGAGACTTATGGCCAACTGTTGGGCAGAGTGCATGGAATCTTATGTAAGAAGTGGGAAATAGTAAGATCTGGAGAGGACAGGAACCACACAGGAGAGCAAAAGAACCAGAAAATTTGAACACAGGGGTCTTCCCAGAGATTCATACTCCAACCAAGTACCGTGCATGGCGATAACCTAGAACCTCTGCACAGATGTAGCCCATGGCAGTTGAGTGTCCAAGTGGGTTCCATAGTAATGGGAAGAGGGACTGCCTCTGTCATAATCTGATTGGCCTGCTCTTTGATCACCTCCCCCGAGGAAGGAGCAGCCAGGCCACAGAAAATGACAATGCAGCCACTCCTGATGTGTTCTGATAGATAAAGATCAGAAGAAAGGAAAGGATGACCTCCCTTATCAGTGAACTTGGGGAGGGGCATGCATGAAGAAGGGGGAGGGAGGGTAGGACTGGCAGGGGAGGAGGGAGGAGATTATGGGGGGGATACAAAGTGAATAAAGTGTAATTAATAAAATAAAATTAAAAAAGAAAGAAAAAACAGAAAGCATCTTCAACAAATGGTGCTGGTCTAACTGGATGTCTACATGTAGAAAAATGCAAACCTCAGTTTAAATATGAGCAGTAATGCAGAGAACCAAGGCTAAAAGAGGAAACAGAGACAAAAGGAAGTCATGGTAAACACTATGTAAGTGTAGACTGTTGTCAACAGGGAGAAGACAAATTAAGTCATGACAGCAAAAATAAACTGAAGGAAATTCCTGAATATATACCAGTGGCCTTAATATCAAAACAATACTTTTTGAGAAATAAATATAAGTGATAATGCTCCCTTATTCCTCAGTGTGTGGGGGGAGTGTGTATGGATGTGTGTAGGTGGATGTGTGTAGGTGTGGGATGTGGGTGTCCTGAAACCGTACCACTGGTTCTCAGCTGTGGTTCTCTACCCCATTATTTTGTGTGCCATTTTCAGAGTTTCTAAAGCATTACTTCCTAGTCACTATTTTTGTCTCTATAACGTCCTTGAATAAATAGATACAAGTGATATATAAAGAAAGAAATTAAAGAAAACTAAGATTTTTCACGACAAAATCCCACAAAGCCCAATCACAAAAGCATTAATATCAGATATATGGAGACAACTTATACATTAAAGACTCTATGGCCTAAAATTACTATGTTCTAATAAATGAATTCTCACAGATTTCTATGTGAAGACTTTTTGAAACAACTGTGGCAGTTGCAGCACATATTTTCATGAATAAGCACTTTGATTTCTGTTTGAAAACCAATTTTCCACATGTAAAATTTGTATTTCTTTACTAGAACTGACACTGCATCATAGGCTCCTGCTTGAGTTAAATATTTCATACATACCCCAACTACTTATGATAGCAATTTTTTGCTGCACTGAATAGTTGTTTCCGAATTTAGTGTATAAACACGGCCAGAACAATAAAAATGATTTAAAGTCTTTCACAAATCTGTCAGGGAATAACTACTATATTTCTGCCTGGATGATCTAAACCTTCTTGTGCCATATGTGGGGAAACAAACAATCAGGCACAAGTCAGACACCACATCATTGATACTGTGCCCAGAGGAACTCCAGGCCCATTTGCTACCTCTAACTTCAGAAAAATAAAAACCGGTAAATTAAAATTTTTGCTTAAACAGTCTCAGTTAATTCACTAATTAACTACCCAATTACTATTAGTAATTGATATAATAGTAAATATTAAGTGAATAATAGCGGTAGAAGTCAATGCTTTACATTTTCTCCAAGGCAAATATATAATCTAATATTCAGGTTCTAAAAATTTGTGCAAATTTGAAATATAAATGTCCTATTTAAGCAGAATTCCTGGCAAATAAACTCTCACATGAGATATTGTTTAGGAAATGCTGAACAAGTAAGAAAAACATGAAAATGTTTCAAAAATAAATTAATAATTTTTTTTTTTTTGCATTGTCATTTAGTTTCTAATCAAAGCCAAATTCATTCTCTCCACCCTTTTTCTGGGAAAGAACTATTATATGGTAATAACACACCATTAACAAAGTACTGCTAATAAGTACCATGCAAATTAGTGGAAAGTGGTTAATGCAAAATCCTATAACTAGCCAAATGTTGAAAGCAAATAATGAGGCACTTATGTACTGGTTAGAACACTGGTCCATGAGGCTCCACTTCTCCCTGAATGTCTATGAGCAGGTTGAATGCCAGGGGAAAAGGTTTCCTCTTTTTCAATAAGTTGTCCATCCTCCAATAAATATTGCCCCATCCATGCTAATGAAAACAACTCTAAATAGAATCATTGGATCAAATACTTAATAAAAAATGAAGAGTGGATGGTATTTAGAAAGAATTTTAACAGGAAACGGAAGGAATCAAAGAGGAGGAAGGGAGTGAATATGGCTAAAATTCGGTATATGTATGTATGAAACTGTCAAAGAATAAAACAAAAGAAAGTAAAATCTGATATAAAAATAATTACTAAAATGTCTACAGTTTCTACTGGCACTGTTAAGAGCTTTTGTTGAGATAACAGTTCATAATGCTATTGTTTTTTTGTTTTTTGTTTTTTTTTTGTGTGTGTGCTTTTTCGTTTCTCGGTATTGGTAATTAAACATAACACCTTTTAAATGCTAGGTAAGGAATCTTCCACTTCTACTCAAACTTTCTTTTGCTTTTTATTTTCAAACAGGATCTCATTAAGCCACGTGAGCTGCTCTTGAACTTGTGACTTTCCTGCCCCACACTCTCTCAAGTATCTGGGATTACACCTCTGTACTATCAGGCTTAGCAACATAAAAAACTTTTAAAAATTAATTCATTGAAAACTGTCAACTGAAAAATTCTGAAATAGTTCTTTTCTGGCTCATAAAGAATGCCTATTTTTGTAAATGGAAAGAGATGAGGGAGGGAGGGAGGGACTGGGAGGGAATGAGGGATCGGGACACGGCTGGGATACAGAGTTAATAAAATGTAACTGATAAGAAAAAAATAAAATTCAAAAAAAAAGAATGCCTATTTTTGTAAATGGAAAGAAGTTAATGGTGAATGTTTAAGACTCTAATCAGATTTTTTTAAAAAGACTATTCTTACAATTTAAAGTGCTTATTTTCTTGTTTTTGCAAATTATTTCATTCTATTTTTCATTTCACATAGAAACAATAATCTTTTCTCACAGTATTCTATACAAACATAAGAAATTTAGAAATTTCATTGTTTGTTCTTTGTTGATTAAGAGGTTAGCAGCACGGAAATAAAGAGTTCACTGTTGTAAAATCACATCAGAATGGGAAAATTAACACCAGCCATTTGCACTTATCAAATCACCTAATAAAAAATAATTCATTGCAGACATCTTTCTCAAAAGAGGATAGAGATTCTTCTCAGATTTATTTATATCTTCTTTAATTGGAAATATAAAATAACAATAAGCAGAAAGTGATAGGAAGTGGGGAAAGTCACTTACATGATCGATTAGTTCACGAACCATTCCATTCCATTGTCCATTCACATCATCCTGGGCTCCGTACTTCCCATCCTCCACAAGCCTAATTTCATATGTAAAGCCAAGGATCGTAGATAACTCTCGTAGGAGATCGATACAGTAGCCTTCAAATCGGTCATTCCCGTAGAGAGGTTTATCAGACTTCTTAAACAGGACATAGGGTTCCTCCTGAAACATTAAACGTGAAACAGTGACATGTCAGTAAACCAGGAAAGAGCATCAGAGCAACGGATTTTCTTGGAAGATAGAAAATATTTCATTAACTTAGGACAACATTCAAATTAATTTTCCTTTGATTTCTTTTAACAGTTTGAAATATTAAGAAAGGAGATATTGACAGTTCTTTTTTTTTCTTTTTTTAACTTTTATTAATTACACTTTATTCATTTTGTATCCCCCCATAAGCCCCTCCCTCCTCTCCTCCCGGTCCCACCCTCCCTCCCCCTTTCTGCATGCATGCCCCTCCCCAAATCCACTGATAGGGGAGATCTTAAGGAATATTTGTGCCTTTCAAGAGAATGTGTAGCTATAAAACCCACCGTGTTTAATCATATACGTACGCCTAATACTATAATTTGTAATGTAATATGTAGTTAAAATAATATTTAACATTATTAAAATAACCCAATTTGAATGATACCACTTATTCAATAAGTGATGTATTGTTTCAATCATATATCTATGAATGAAAAAAATGCTGAATTCCTTTTTATTATGTTAATTGGAGAGAATGCTTATGACTCATATTACCCTTTGCCATAAAAACTATGAATTTTCAAGTGCTACAATAAATTATCCAAAAAAAAAAAAAAAAAACCAAAACACCAACACATAGCAGCTCTCTTAAAACATAGAAAAAGCAGTCTGACACTCAGTAGTTGCACACAGTTCCACTCTAAGACATTTGTGTTCCTATTATGAGCAATCTCCACTTCTACGTGAAAGGTAAATTGTTGAGTCAAGGCATTTATGCTTTAGCAGATATTAAATACATAGAGAGAAAACATAACTTCAGGGGAAGGTTAGTTATAAAGAGATGCAAAACAGCTCAATAAATTTAGAGAAAAGCTGTAATGTACTTGCAAGAGAAGACAAAGCAAAAGTGATTTGTTTCTCAAAGCCTTTACTCAGGAGATAACACATAAAATACATCATAAATTAGGAAAAGGAGGCAAGGTATTTAAAAATTTGAAAATAAGTTTTAAGTCAAGAGAATGGGAAGTAGAAGGCATGATGGTCAATATGAATATGATAGTTCATGAAAGGAGCACTAACCATTTTTTCGTGTATAAAATGACATTCAGTACAGGGGAGGGAGGAGTATTGAAAAGCCTGAGAATGAGAAATTTAAGGAGTCAAGTCCTGTGAGTCTCTAATGCAGCAATCAGTATAAAAATGTGTATGTCTAGGTACAAAGAGAGTCTATGGCTACCCCACATCGATTATGTCCACTCTTGCTAAATGCAAATAGGAATCAGACCCTGGTATATTTTGAGGAGCAGATGGTATTAACACAGAGCATGTTATTTCTTTGGCGATCTTCTCTCTTTGAACTCATATCAACCATTAATGCTTTTATTATCTCCAAGTTTTGCCTTTATATAAATGGAAAAAAATAGTATATGATGTTTTAAGATTGGCTTTACATAACTTGGCAGTACACCATTAAGATTTCTTTGTAGCTCACCTTTTATATGTTATGGGTTCTTCTTCCTGCCCCTCCCCCCTTCACCACTTTCAACACCCCCGGTTATTCTCCCTAACACTAGATAGGAGAGAAACAAGGATAGAAGTGAAAGGGAAAAATAGGAAAATGCCCAAATCTAATTTCTTTTATTTTGTTCCTTCTTTGACCATGGTCAAAGAAAGAACAAACTTTCTAAATGACCAACAACTACTGATTCTGCCTCTCTCAGAGGAATCGCATTTATGTGCCCTCTGAAAAGTTCCCAGAATTCCAAATGTCACAAAATCATAGAAAAGACCTGCGGCTATCAAAACCATGCTTCTGCTAGAGCATGAGGCAAATCAGGGTCAGCTGCTCCACACATCCCGAAGCAGCCTCAATTCTCCCCACCTGGGATGGAAACAAAAACCAAATTCATAATATTTCTGTGTTTTTAAAAACACAAAATCCCAAAAGTGTCCTTTTTAAGATTGATACCTTGTTTTCTTTCATGGCTCAATAATACTGCATTGTTGACTCAATAATATTATACTGTTCATATGCACTTAAGTTATTTGTCCATTAAATTGCTAAAGAAACTAAAGTTCTGGGAAGGATCTATTAAGCTGGAATATATACATATGTTCCAGATCTAGTGTTAACACATAACTTTGTAATTAATTTGGGTAAATACCAAGGAGTATTAATGCTGTATCTTTGGTAAGGAATGCCATGTTTCACAATAGTATTTAAAAACAGTGGGAGCATTTTGAGTCTTGTGCTCTTCTTTATCAATACCTACCATGGTCAATTGTGGGCTTTTGTACATTATTAATGGCTTGTTGTGGCATCTCAATATTGTTTCTTTTTTGACTTTTTATATTTTACAATTGATTCGTTTTATATCTCAATAGTAGTGCCCTCCCTCATCTCCTCACAGCTCCACCCTTCCCTCTCCCACTCCCATTTCCTTCTCCCAATCCACTGACAGGGGGAGTCCTCCTCCCCAGACATCTGATCCTAGCTTATCAAGTCTCATTAGGACTACCTGAATCCTCTTTCTCTGTGGCCTGGAAAGGTCACATTGCCAGGGGGAAGTGATCATATCACAGGCAACTGAGTTCATGTCAGAGACAGCCCCTACCCTCCTTACTCAGGAATCCACATGGAGGCTAAAGTGTCTATGGGCTACATCTGAGCAAAGGGTCTAGGTCTTCTCCATGCTGGTCCTTGGTTGGTGCATCACTCTCTGCATCCCTCCCTAGATTGTTGGCTTTATTGTTCCCCTTGTGGAGCTCCTATACCCTCCAGGTCCTTCCATTGCCACCTCCCTTCTTCTATGAGACTCCCTGTTTTCTGCCCATAGATTGGCTCTGAGTCTCAGCAACTGTTTCAATTCCCTGTTTGGTGGAGCCTTTCAGAGGCTTTACATGAGAAGAATCAATCACTTCCTGAAAAATATGAGGTTTACAAGTAAAAATGACTACTGTCATGGACTGAGGCAATCAAAGATCTATTAAACAAGGAAATCCATAAACATACTAAAATCTGTACAACTAAAGAAACTAATCAAGAAGGAAGACTCTGGGTAAAATGCTCAATCCTCATTCAGAAAGGCAAACAGGATGGGCATCAGAAGAGGGAGAAAACAGGGAACAAGACAGGAGCCTGCCACAGAGGGCCTAGGAAAGACTCTACCCGGCAGGGTATCAAAGCAGATGCTGAGACTCATAGCCAAACTCTGGGCAGAGTGCAGGGAATCTTATGAAAGAAGGGGGAGATAGTAAGACCTGGAGAGGACAGGAGCTCCACAAGGAGAGCAACAAAACCAAAAATTCTGGGCACAGGGGTCCTTTCTGAGACTGATATTCCAACCAAGGACCATTCATGGAGATATTTTAGAACCCATGCACAGATGTAGCATATGGCAGTTCAGTGCCCACGTGGGTTCCCTAGTAATGGGAACAGGGACTATCTCTGACACGAACTCAGTGGCTGGCTCTTTGATCACCTCCCCCTCAGGAGGGGTGCAGTCTTACCAGGCCACAGAAGAGGACAATGCAGCCACTCCTGATGAGACCTGATAGGCTAGGATCAGAAGGAGGGGAGGAGGTCCTCCCCTATCAGTGGACTGGGGGAAGGGCATGAGTGGAGAAGAGGGAGGCAGAGTGGGATTGGGAGGGGTGGAGGGAGGGAGCTACAGGTAGGAGACAAAGTGAATAAACTGTAATTAATAAAAATAAAATATAAAAGAGAAGGAAATCCATGGCTTCAAAACTGGAAGAAAAAAATTAAAAACTTCTGATATGTAAGTGCCTCTACTTGATTAAAGTGTTGTACTAACAAATCCACAGTTCGTGAAGCCATATAAAAGGGATGAAATATTTAGGGGAGAAAATTACAATTTCTATAGATGAGAAACTAGTCTAAGAACCCTGGGTCGTTAGAATGATAGTCAAATGCATTATCTCAGTACAGTAGATTAATTCTTTAGACTTCATATGCTAATTTAGTTATCATATTATTTGCAGATAAATAGATGTTTGGCTGTTTTTATTCCAAAGGCAAAAAGAGGATAAGTTAAGCTCTACACACTAAGCAATAATGGTAGCTGACAATTTCCTATTCACTTACTCTGATGCTTGACCTTGCTTTAAGTCCTTTAATTATTTATTTCTCATAATGACTATATGAGATCAGTGGCATTATAATTTTCATTTAACAGAAAGCAAACTGAAAGGGACAATGTTAGGAATTTTTTTTTTTTTTAATTTTGTCAAAGACCGGGAGCCAGAAGTTGTTTAGACTCTGAGAACACTTAAGAACAAGCTTCCCTATTAACTTATCTTTAGCAATCATTTCCACACTTCGTGTGAATGCATAATTATGCACAACTCATTATATAACTGAATACATGTTGTATTGCTTTATGATTTTTTAATCAACTGGGATTAGACATTGGGCTATACTACATGCAGAATGGTATTATTTATTGAACAGTATAATCAAGACATCATTACAGAAGAAAGTAAGGAATAAACACATAATAGAGAAAATTAATTTTCTAGATGACAAATTAATACCCTTTCCTGAACAAGAACACATTGTTTTTTAAACATAATTGTATTTTAAGAAAATAGCACAAGTTATACATCAGGTTGAAGTAGCAACACATGAGTATTTCTATTATTTCCACTGTTAAAATTAAATAATAATTAGTACTATTTTGTATTTTTGTTCCAAAATAGTAATGATATGTTTTCAAAGAAAAGGAATGTTTTAGATGTACTAGAAAAAAATGTAATAATTATAATTTGGAGTGTGTGAGGTATATAAAGGACATATTTAAGAAATTAATATAACTTCAGAAGTTTTATGCAAATTAATTTCATTCATTCAGTTGTCCATTCTATCTATTATTTTAATTTTATCTAACTAAAAGCCAGTGTGAAAACTCATGTCATAAGGAAATAAATTTATTGATCCCTAGGTGATTAAAACC